GTCTTAAGTATGTGTTTGAGTAATGTATTAAATGGCATTAACATGGACAGTAAAACTCTTGCATTATTTTCTTCCCTGGGGGCATATAATGCAAAACTTCATTGACTGGAGCCAGTTTAGTAAATGGGGCAGAAAATGCCTGTAGAAGTGATGTAATGTTATGAAGAAAGTGGAGCATAAGATGGCATATAAACTCTTAATGGCATTGTTTCCTAGATTCTCCATGTGCAGCAAAGTGGATATTGCTGCTGCCTTTAAGGAACAGCCTGATCACAATTAAAGCACTAGTGTGTTCATTTCCTGGCACACGTATGAATGTGGGGTACAGATTAGAATTTATTTCATCAAGCTTTAATTTCATTTTCAGCCCCTTAAAAGTTTCATATCTTTTAAATATGCTGCCAGCAACCTGTTATCTGGTATAATGAAAAGCAGTGTAACCACTCACCAAATAAAATCCCATATAAAACCTAAACCTCAGTTTCACTTTTCAGGCACTGGTTTCATTGCCTCTTCCACCCACCCTTTCTCTCTGCCAGAGCCCCTAATGAGCAGCAGCTCTGGCCAAATCCTGCCAAGTGTGAGCAGGTGGGTTTAATGGGATGTGAGATGTAGCTGGCCTGTAACCAGACTACCATTCACTGGCAAGGTCATATGGATATTAGGGGGTAGAGAGAAAATTTTGAGCAAGATGTTTACAAATAAGAATAAAAGTAAGTCATACTGTTTTATATTCATACTTTATTTATTTGTATAATACACATTGCATGTCTTAGCACCTTAAATAAAAATTTCTGGAAAGGTTTGTCCTTTGAAAGATGTAACGTGATAGATTACTAGCTAGTAGGAACAAATTCTTTTCTATTTTCACAAAGTTGAGAAACTGTTTTGGGCTCTATCACCATTGATTCATTCTTTCATTCATTCATTTGTTCTTTCAAAAGAAACCATCAAGCCGCTTTCAAAGTAATTATTTTTATTTATTTCTTAGACATATCAGTGAATACAACTATGGAGTTTATAAAATAAAACTAAGATTATTTAATTGTTATTTTGGCTTACTTATCTAGAAAATTTTTAACAAGTAAATATTTTATGTTGATAGTTAATGCAATGTTTTGCTTAAATTATGCTCTATGTATGTTATGAGAAGAAAGAAATACGCTAAAGAAACTAAAGGGTGAATGTGGGAATCAAAACAGATGGTGTGTTTTGGAAGGTATTTTGAAAGTGGCGAAATACTTTACATATTTACAAGCTTATTATTATATTTAGAGGAAAATGGTGTAGAGGAAAGAATGGACAAGGAATTAGAAGTCAATTACAAACTACGCAAGTAGCTGGTTGTATGACTTAACCTGTGGGTGACTTACTATCTATTTATTTAAATAGTTACTCTAAGTGACTGACTTTTCCACTGCTTAGGCTTACCATGAGAGTTAAATTTATTTAAAAACACTTTTTTTGCCTATGAAACACAGTTAATAATTTTGAAATTAGAAAATTGTGTTTTTTATTATAGTTACTATTTAGGAGAACTACAACTAAGTTTAGGAATAGGAAAATTTCCGAAAAGTATTTCATCCAAAAGCAGGAATTCAAGTCCCTCAGAAAAGTTTATTTCTAAATAAGATTAATATCAATAAAAGACTATACTTAATTGCTGTTGAAGTTGGAAGTATAAACACAAATACAATTCACTGACGTCTTAATTGACATTATATTGGTAATAACCATATTTGTTACTTTTAAAATTTATATTTTACTTTTTAACACATAAAACAATATTTATAAAGCATATTTTATAATAATAATATATGTTCTAACAAGTATGTTATTTAGTGCAAGAATATGCCCAACAACCATGAGTCTAACAATTGGGACATAAGCAAGAATGTGTCAGTGCTGTGGTAAGAAACAGATGACATACTTAAAAGAGTTTAACTGATAGTAATGAATACCCTACAATTACCAAAAGTTTCCATATCTTATTCAAATATTGTGTTGTCAGATTCTTAGTTTCTGCCGAGTGGGTATAAAACACAGCTACTCATTGCATCTTAATTTCCATTTTCCTTATTATTAATGAAATTGAGCTTTTTCTCCCACAATTTTGGTTGGCAAAATGTTTTCTCTTACACAAAACTGCTCACGTCTTTTGCCGTATTTCTAGTTTTTGTTTTGTTTTGTTTTGTTTTTGTTATTTATTTATTTTTTGAGATCCAGTCTCACTCTGTTGCGAGGCTGGAGTACAGTGGTGCGATCTTGGCTCACTGCAACCTCCGACCCCAAGTTCAACCGATTCTCCTACCTTAGCCTCCTGAGTAGCTGGGATTACAGGTGCACTTCCCCACTCCAGGCTAATTTTTTGTATTTTTAGTAGAGACGGGGTTTCAACATCTTGGCCAGGCTGGTCTTGAACTCCTGACCTTGTGATACACCTGCCTTGGCCTCCCAAAGTGCTGGGTTTACAGGTGTGAGCCACCACGCCCAGCCTTTTGCCCAGATTTCTACATGGTAATTGTATTATTGAGTTATAAGTTGTTGCATTTTTCCCAAATATTTAAAACAATAACATTTTGTTGATTATATATTTTGTGAATATTTCACAGAGCTTCTGACTGGTTTTCTTTAATTTTACTTTGAAAAATTGTTAAATTAATCAATCTTATTAACTAACCTTTTAATGCTCTTTATGCATTGTTTAAGAAAGTCTTCTTTACCCTAGTTTCAGAGGGACCTCTCCTATAACTTCTTCAAAAAAATCATTTTATATTTAATATAGAAATCTTTATATCATTAGGAATTGGCTTTAACATGATGAAAGAAAGGGGCTAACTTAATTTTTATATGAATTGAACTTTTGTTTCTCACTGCATTTATTGAATAATCTTTCCTTTCTCCAGCCATGCCACATTTGTCTTTATCAGTTTCTCCTATGCCTAAACTTGTCCAACTGGTCAGTCTGTCTATCCATGTACCAATATCACACTTTCTTAAATACTATAGTTTTATGATAATTCCTTTTTTTTTTTTTTTTTTTTTAGATGGAGGCCTGCTCTGTTGCCCAGGCTGGAGTGCAGTGGCACAATCTTGGCTTACTGCAACCTTTGCCTCCCGGGTTCAAGCGATTCTCCTGCCTCGGCCTCCCCAGTAGCTGGGACTACCAGTGCATGCCACCACGCCCAGCTAATGTTTTTTGTCTTTTTAAGTAGAGACAGGGTTTCACAGTGTTAGCCAGGATGGTCTTGATCTCCTGACCTCGTGATCTGTCCACCTCAGCCTCCCAAAGTGCTGGGATTACAGGTGTGAGCCATTGCGCCCAGCCCACAATTCTTAATTTCTATTAGGACAAATCATCCCTCATTTTTCCTTATGAGTATCTTAGCTAATCTTGTCTCTTTTCTCTTCTATGCAAATACTAGAATTTGATTTTAAAACTCTGTATAAACGCTGTTCAAATTTTGATTGGAATAGCATTAAAGCTATAGATTAATCTGAGAACATTTGGTATTTTTATAATACTGGCTGTGTCCACATGTAAAATATTCCTTGATTAATTGAGGTTTTGGTTAAATTATTTGGATAAAGTTTTAAAATATTACTTTGTCTTGCACATCTTTTGTTAGATTTTCCCTAGTAGACTACAATTTTTATTGCTATTACAAATAACATTGTAAAAATTATACTTTCTCTTTGTTGCTACTCTATAAAAATTCAATTAATTATTGCATGTGAATCTAACATTTTGCCAACTTGCTATATATCCTCTTATTATACTCAACTACTCTTGCTAGATTCTTTGGTGTTGTTCCTCTCTTTCCAATCTTGTCTTATGTTTCTTTATTCTTTTTTTAGGACACTAAGTTAGAAAGATGCAGGCTTAAATAGCCAGGTATACATGTAACCAATTTTGTAAGTATTATAAATGTGGATGAGAAAAATGTATATTCTATAATTTGGAGTGTAGAATAAATACTACTAGATCAATTTTTTTTAAAAAAACTTTATGTATATTATTTTTGTCTGCTTAACTATTAATAATTAAAAGGTATAATGAAATTCCCACTATGGAGATAGGGGTACAAATTTTATTGTACTTCTATTTATTTTTTCTTTATATATTTTGAGGCCATTTCATTAGGTTCATGCAAACTGTATCTTCTATTTGAATTGAACTTTATTATTATTATTACTTTTTTAAAGTTTTATTTTAAGTTCAAGGGTGCATGTGCAGGTTTGTTTCATAGGTTAACTTGTATCATGGAAATTTGTTGTACATATTATTTCATCACATAGGTATTAAGCCTAGTACCCATTAATTGTTTTTCCTGATCCTCTCCCTCCTCCCACCCACCATCCTTTGAAAGGCCCCACTGTAGGTTGTTCCCCTAGGTTTCCATGTGTTCTCATCACTTAGCTCCCGCTTATAAGTGAGAACATGTGGTATTTGGTTTTCTGTTCCTGTGTTAGTTTGCTAAGGATAATGGCCTCCATCTTTATCCATGTCCCTGCAGAGGACATGATCTTATTATTTTTTTATGACTGCATAGTATTTTGTGGTGTATATGTACCACTTTCTTTTGTCCAGTCTATCACTGATGGGCATTTAGGGTGATTCCATGTCTTTGCTATTGTGAATAGTGCTGCAGTGAACATACGCATGCATGTGTCTTTATAACAGAATCATTTATATTCCTTTGGGCATATACCTAGTAATGGAATTGCTGGGTTCAAAACTAAAAACCCTGGAAGGCAACCTAAGCAATATCATTCAGCATAGGCACAGGCAAAGATTTCATGATGAACTTTTATTATTACGTGATGACCCTCTCTATAGCTAATATAGTTGAAAAACTTGATATCCATGTACTTTTTATTTAATCATTTAAATCATTTTCAAGTATATAATTCAGTGGGATGAACACACTCACAATGTTGTGCTGCCATTACCACTGTCTTAATCAGTTCAGCCTGCTTTAATAAGATACCATAAAGTAGACGGTTTAAAAAACAGAATTTTATTTTTCACAGTTCTGGCATCTGGGAAGTCCAAGATGTAGGCATCAGCAGCTTTGATGTCTGATGGGAACCCCTTCCTGGTTTAAGAATGGCCATCTTCTCTTTGTGTCCTCACTTGGGAAAGAGAGAGCAAGAACCAAAGTCTCTTTCTCCTCTTATAAAGGCACTAATCCCATCATGGTGGCTCCACCCTCATGACCTCATCTAAACCAAATTACATCCAAAAAGTCCAACCCTCTAAAACCATCCCATTGGAGGTTAGAGTTTCAATGTATGAATTTTGAGGAACACAAACATGTAGTTCATACCAACTACTCTTCATTTCCAGAACTTCATTATTCCAAACAGAAGCCCTGTACCCATTCCTCACTCTCCCCTATCTCCAGCCCCTGGCAACCTCTATTCTACTTTCTGTTTTTATGAATTTGACTATTCTAGATACCTCATATAAGTGGACTCATATAGTATTTGTCCTATCATGTCTTGCTTATTTCACTTAGCATGTTTTCAAAGTTCATCCATGTTGTAGCATGTAACCTAATATAGTTTTTGTGCTACAGTCCATTTTAACTGATATTACATTACTTGCCAGCATTCTTTTAGTTAGTATTTGCCTAGTGTATCTGTTTAAACCTTTTGACATAGTCTTTTTATCTTTATGTGCTAGGAACATTTCTTATAATCTACAATAGCTTGGTTTTCTCAATTCAATTTGAAAAATCTTAAAAAAAAATTTTTTTTTTGAGGGGAAAGAGTCTTGCTTTGTTGCCCAGGCTGGAGTGCAGTGGCATGATCACAGCTCACTATAGTCTCAAACTCCTGGGCCTAAGTGATCTTCCCATCTCAGCTGGAATTATAGGCATGTACAACCATGTCCAACGATGTCCAGCTACTTTCTGTATTTTTCGTAGAGATAGAGTTTAGTAGCGTTGGACAGGCTGGTTTTGAACTCCTGAGCTCAAGTGATTTGCTGGCCTTGGCCTCTTAAAGTACTGGGATTATAGGTGTGAGTCACTGCACCCGGGCAAATCTGACTTTTAACTGACATTAAAATTATGGTTATTGATCTACTAGTTATTAAAACTTTTAATTTTTATTTTCAGATCCTATTTTTCTCTTTTCCTGTCTTTTGTAATGGATTGTTTGAGGTTGAGATTTTGTTTTTTCCTTTATTTTCTTTAGAAAATAAAGAAATCCCTACTCCTCGGCCTGAAATGTCTTAAAGAATATGCGTTAACTATGCTCTTACTATTCTGTAATACATATTAATTCTTTAGAGACATTTATCAAAGTCTCTAATATAAACCAATAAAACACATTATATAATTACTTTGGAGAATAAATGATAAAACCATAGTGCTTACTTTCAAGAACTAGAGACCATAGCACATCATGGATTTTCAGGAAAAAATATGGGTTCAGGTTCTGGCTTTCCACTTATTATTTGGCCCTGGGCAAATAATAAGATGGGTGTAAGTAAGATGAGTCTAACTAAGTTGGTTGTAATAATATCTGTAATGCAGTGTTCATTTATGTATTCATTCATTTATTCATTGATAAATATTTGTTTGAACTTATATATGATTATGTATCAAATGCTGGCTAAGTAATGATAAACAAGTTATATACTCTGCCATCATAAAATTTACAGTCTTGAAACACATAAGTTTTTTAAAAATTATACAAATGACTGACACAAATTCTCAAAAGAAAGAAATTGGTGTGTAATAAAAGAATCTTGTAATGATATTATATATAAAGTATTTGGAATGTACTAAGCACTTAGCAAATGAGGTAGTATTTTTATAGATAATAATGTCAATGCCTTTGGAGTTTATCATGCACAAATATTAAAAGTTAACATGTTACATAATGAAATACCAACCTGTGTGTTACAGGCATTTCACTATTTAATTATACAAAAAAGCCCTGATATTTGAAAAATAGTCCATGCAGTTTTCAAAAGCAGAATTCAGTGTAGTCAATAGACACAGATGCAGAAATGTCAAAGATGGGTCCCGGGGGCCGTGGCTCACTCCTGTAATCTCAGCACTTTGGGAGGCCCAGGCATCTGGATTACAAGGTCAGGAGTTTGAGACCAGCCTGGCCAACACAGTGAAAACCCATCTCTACAAAAAATAAAAAAAAATTAGCTGTGTGTGGTGGCACACACCTGTAGTCCCAGCTACTCTGGAGACTGAGGCAGGAAAAGCGCTTGAACTTGGGAGGCGGAGGTTTCAGTGAGCCAAGACCATGCCATTGAACTTCGGCCTGGGTAGCAGAGTGAGACTATGTCTCAAAAAAAACAAAAAAAGAAAGAATGGAAAGAAAGAAGAAAGAAAAAGAAAGAAAGGAAGGAAGGAAAGAAAGAAAAGGAAGGAAAGAGAGAAAGAAGGAAAGAAAGAATGAAAGAAAGAAAATGAAGGAAGGAAG